TACAGGCAAACCCAGACACAAACTACAGGGTCAACAGTTTGTGGAGCACCCGATTCTGTGTCTCCAGGCAGTTCAGGATGTGCACAGGAGCTAGACACAGCCCTCACCAACAGCAACCACAGGGTGCCTGTGTCTGTGACCTCCAGGAGGTCAGGGCACAAGCAAAACCCAAACCCAAACTGCGTTGACAGCAGCTCGTGGAGTGCCCACTCTAGTACCTCACTGGGTACTGGGTACGCTCAGAGAGGGCCCACACGTGAACCCCGGTGAGAGCAGTTCTTGGGCCTTCTGAGGGAGGATCTCATGTCTGCACTGGGTGCACGGAGGGCAGAGCCTCAGACTGTGATGGTGGCAGCATTGTGGGTTATCTGCTCTGCCCCCAGGAAGTAGATGGGAAGTACCTGGTTCTCTTGGGGGTAGTTGGGCTGGGAACTGTGCTGTCAGTGGTTCTCAGCTCACCTAATTCTGTTTCTCCAGTCAGTTCAGGATTCACAGAGGAGCCAGACATGGGCCGCACTGACAGCGATCACAGACTGCCTATGTCTGTGACCTCCAGGAGGTTGGGGCACAAGCAAGGCCCAAACCCGAACTGTGGTGTCAGCAGCTTGTGGAGCGCCTGCTCCAGTACCTCACTGGGCGCTGGGCATGCTCAGAGAGGGCCCACACGTGAACCCTGGTGAGAGCAGTTTGCGGGCCTTCTGAGTGAGGAACTCCTGTCTGCACCAGATGTGCGGAGGGCAAAGACTCTGGGTCTCCATCCATTTTGGAGGATAGTTTTGTGGAGTACATCAGTCTGGGCTGGAGACTGTTTTCTTTTAGGGCTTACAATACTTCACTCCAAGCTCTGCCTGACTTGAGGGTTTGTGTTGAGAAGTCTGCTGTGATTTTGGTGGACTTTCCTTTATAGGTGATTTGTTTCTTTTCTCTAATAACTTTTAATATTTTGTTTTTGTGTTCAGTTCTGGAATCTTGACTTTTATATCCCTTAGTGCAGTTTTTTTTGATCATGGCTAATTGGAGTTCTATATACTTATCTGTATGTCAGATTCTTTTTATGTCACTTGCGCTATCTTGTGCCTTTTCATTGACACCAGTCAATCTTATGTTATTCTTCTTTGCATCATCCAGCACCTTACAGATTTTTTTTTGTCCCCCCTTGGTATTTTTAAGAAATTTTTCTTTTTATGATTGCTAACTGCAACCCTGTCTTCAATATCTGATATTCTGTACTCACATTGGCTCATTCTGCTCTGTATACTTTCAGTGGAATTTTTAATCTCCTAGATATCTGTTAGAATCTGTTTCATGGGTTCTATTTCTTTCCTATGTTGGGTGTTCATCGCTTATGGTTTACATTCATGGGTTAGTTCCTCTATTTTTTTTTTTTTTTATTGATATCTGCTCTAGAGTCATTAACCGTGTCTTTCATTATGGTCACCATCTCTGTAGTTATCTGAGAAACTATTTCTGATTTGATTTTTTTCTAGAGCCTCATTCATCTGCTCTGTTACTTCACTGTTACTACTTCAGAGAGTCCAGGTGGGTAGCTTTCAAATTACTCCACTTCATTGCCCTGTGGGTTTGCCTTTGGTGAGCTGGAAGTTTGGGGTTACATCTTGCTTATGTGTCTTCTCATTTTCTATTTTTTTAAAGTTTAATTCCTGAGTTGATGCTTGTAAGTCACTTATGACAAGTATTTAGAACCCCTAGGAAATAACTACTCCGCAATGTCTTTTAGGTATAGCTGGTGTTTGGGTTTTAGTCTGTTGCAGGATCCTACCTGTTCAATTTATTGTGAATGAGAAGTTGCTGCTTATTTGGTATAGCCCCTGGTTCTTTGGTACTGGCTTATAATACTGTTTATGACTGTTAGATAGTCTCAGTCTTGGCCTACTAGGAAGAACAACTGATTGGAACAATTACATCACCTTGGCTAAAGTAAATCAGTTTTCCCTCTTCCCAAAAGTCCTCTCATGACTTTTCCTATGTCTGTTTTCTTAGGAATTTTCAGTTGCCTGGGTTGCCCTCAGAGTTTTCCAAAAAAGGACAAATTGTTTGTCCTGTTTGGATTTACATATACATAGGGAGTTCTGGAAGGTGAGCTTTGAGTTAGAACTTAAGACCTGTTTGCAGAGCTTTTCTCAGATGTCATTTAATAAATATTTATGTAGCATCTAGTGTGTTATATGGGGAGGGGGATTGTAAAGGACCCAGTGAAGATGGGTGGCCATAGTCTGGCAGAGGAGTGAATTAAGAATATTCATTTAGTACACTTTTGCAGTTTGAAAAATTATGATTTGGTGTGTGCCATAACTGCGTGTCTTCCATCCACTTCCTAACCCATGGTTAATTGGTTTTTCCTTCCTTTCTGTACTGCAGTGGTTTATTTTCTATGACCACCACCAGTGTCTTTCTGGGGATCTTACCTAGTGGCTTTTACTACATCCTCCTAACATTCTGAGTTAATCTTTCACAACCTTCCTGCTCCATCCAGATTGAAACACAATTCACTTTACATTCCTGAGCATCCTCCACAGCACTTGCTAGAGGTGTGTGTAGTTGGTGAGTTAAAAGGCGGCAACATAGTTTGAGAAAAGCTTCATTAACTAGAGCAGAACTATGACTAAGAGGAATGAAAAAAGGATCTAGATAAAGAGGTTTCAAGGAAACTTGAGAACAAATAAATATTTTACCACTCCTTGGTTTTTGTCTTTTTTTTTTTTAATTGCCCAACTTCTCAATGTTAGGTTCCCAGGACTTTTTGTTCTTTTCCTTTTTTCCCTATACCAGGATGGCATATCATTGCCAACTTTAGTCCTTTGTCAGTCCTTGTCTGATAAAGTGTGTAGGAAGAGTCTCAGACTTTCTTTGGATTCATCAGAGGAGTGTTTTGCTTGTTTGTGCTGTTTCCTGTAAATTCACGTTTGTCAAGCAATCACATGGTGCTGATCCAGACCATCTTATCTATAGATCATCTTGCTTGATGATGTCATAGAAATCCAAGGGTGTGGGTGCTCTGTGTGCTAAGATGGATGTTTCAGCCCAGGCCTTTTTTCTAGGCTGTGAATCTCACTATCTTAACAACCTCTGGGCTGCAGTTGAAAATCTCTTAATTCAATATGATCGGCATGACTCACCTCTTCTTTCTCAACTGCTTCTCCCTGGATTCCCTGTTAGTGAATGGTATCATCGCTCCTCAGTCACAGAATTAAGAATTCTGGAAATCATTCTAGATTTCTCCATTCTTCTGTGTTGATGCAATCACCAGTTCTCAGAGTTTTTCTGTTTTTTGTTTTGTTTTGTCTTTTTGAGACAGGGTCTTGCTATGTAGTTCAGGTTGTTGGCGTTGAGCTCACTTTGTAGCCCAGGCTCGTCTTGAACTTGCAATGGTCCTCCTGCCTCAGCTTCCCGAGTGCTGGAATTACAAGCATGTGTCAGCACGCTGGGCCGAGTTTTTCTGTTTTGTCTCCACTACCTTAACTTAGCCTCTTATGACTTCTTCAGATTTACTCTTGACTCTTGTTTTCTGTCAGCGTTCCACATGCTGGCAGAAAATCAGATACCAGTCTGACCACTGCCACTTCCTGTTTAAAGTATTTTGCTTGGCCCCGGTCGCTTTGGGGACAGTGTGAACTCCTGTGCTTAGCTCAGCACGGAGCCCTTCATGCTCTGCCTGTCTTCTCAGTTACCCTCTGCTGCTTTGCCACCTGTGCCTCTTCTTTCAACTACGCCACTGTTTCCAAAGCTTCAGAGCAGCTGCTTTCATGCCCTTCACATTCCACACGTTAACTCAGCCAGATGACCCCCTATCTTCTTTTTGATGCAACTAATACCCCAGCAGATTCTGAAAATTTTTAAACATGTAGCAAAATTGAAAGAATTTTATAATAAACATCAGTGTACTTAATTAACTACTATATTGTACAACTATGCAGTAATATATTTCACTACACTTAATTTATCACATGTCTATTTATCCTACTATTCATCCACTGATACATCTTACTTTTGGTCCATCTCAAAGTAAATTACAGGAATTAGTATTCCTTTCTCTAAATACTTTGGCAAATGTTCCTTAACTGAGTTCAGCAAATCCATGTGTACATTTGCTGAGTTTTGGTGAGTGCACACAACCATGTGATCGTCACCGTCACCTTCGAGGTCCCCTCATGCTCCTTCCAAGTTAGTCTTGTTCCTGTTCCCCTAAGGATTCTTTTTTTTTTTCCATAAAAGATTAGTTTTCCTGTTTTATCCTTTAAGATTCACTTTGAGTGTTACTTCCTCGAAATCTCCTGCTTTCCAGTTTTGATTTAGCCATTTTTCAACCTGTAGCTCATACTGTGGTTTCACTGGATTTGCATAGGAAAAAGCTGTTTGACACTGTACTGTGATTTTTTTTTCCTCTTGTGGTTCTGGGGATCTAGAATCTGGGGCCTTGCCCATATTAAGCAGGCATCGTGCTACTGAGCTACACCCAAGCTCAAGAGATGGCTTTTTTGTTTAACTTCTGTTAGACTGTAGGTCATTCACAGTTGGACTGACTCTTACTGCTAAGCATAGTGCTGGACACTTACGTAATATTCAGTGAACATTTGTGGAAATAAGCTGTATTTTTTTTTCTTTTTAATAATCTGTATTGATAGTGATGGTTAGAGGGTTTGGTTGAAGGTATGACAGTTAAATTGAGAGAGCAGGAAATATATTTTAGCCTCTACATTTTGGACTAGGTCATTGTTAATATTTGTTGGAGGGCCTTTTGTGTGAGTGCATGTGTCCTAAATTCTTAGCAAAGTAAAGATTACTGACTTGTGAATGCTTTTTAAAGATAAGAAGTATCTGAGACAAGTGAGGGTTCAGACATACATGGTGTGCTTATAGGTTTTTTGTGTAAGTAACTAGAAAAGCGTTTGTTTATTTTGTCAGTATTTTAAAACCAGTTTCTGTCCCTCTTTCTTGCCCATTTACCTTTCTTCCTCCCTTTCTCCATCTTAACCCGGCAGTACATTTGGCTTGGTAGATTCAGATGGACCTTGCTATGCAGTGATGGTGTATAACATAGTCCAGAGCTGGGGCGTTCTCATTGGGGACTCGGTCGCCATTCCTGAGCCTAACCTTCGGGTTCACCAAATTCAGCACAAGGGAAAGGTGAGTGATGGCTAGGATTCAGTTGCAATTCATAGGTTCCAAGCTGATCTCTTTTTAAAAAATACTGTAGGCATAAAAGTAAATCTTGCATGTGTGAGTGTGTATGGCACACATGTATGTTTATGGCACTTATACACACAAATATATATATAAATATACATGTGTACATGTATACATCAGGAGCCTGCCAAAAAATGTATACATCAGGAAAAGAAAAACTTTAGTAAATATTTTAATACTAAACTTATGGAGACATCATTGAGATTAATACAAGTTACCTTTGACCTCTACAATTTTAAGAGTTGCTCAAAATGGAGGCCATTAGCTTCCAGACATTTATTTATCAGTGTGGCAAACTGTTAAAGTATGTATACATTTTTTTTTGGCTGCCCTCCCCTTTCTCTGTCTATATATATGTATATGCACACTTTTTTGTTTTATTTGTTCATTTTTTCTTCAAACTGACTTTGTGTACATTTTAGATATATATAACGATCACATTCATCACAGAGAATTTGTACCTGTACATGCTATAACTTGATTCTTTTCTTTTTTCCATTCTCGTATCCTCCCTTCAACCCTGTTGTTTGGTTTAATAAAAGGAAAACTACTGGTAAGCAAAAGAAATGTAAAAAATGGAGTGAAAGCCAGGTGTGGTGGCACATACTTGTGACCCTAGCACTCTGGAAGGCTGGGACTTACTGAGACCTTGTCTCAAAATAAAAAATAAAAAAAGGTTGGGGATATAGCTCAGTCTGAAGCCCTGGGTTCAGTTCCTAGTACCACCACCACCAAAAAAAGGGGGCGAAGTGTTACCACTCAGATGTTACTAGTAACTGTTGGCTGTACATGCCGCTAGTCTTTTTTCCTTTTTAGAAATACACTTTCATCCCTGTTTATAACTTACTCATGTGTAGGATAGTATATGCATGTTCGAATGTTTTTCATGTTTTTTTTTTTGTTTGTTTGTTTTTCATGTTTTGAATTGACAGGTAGTAGTGATGGTAATGACAATTAACATTTATTGAATACCTAACTGGGTGCTCGGCATTGCTAAGAGTTTTGTTGCCTACATTTCCTGGTTTAATCTTCATGGACATGTTATGGGAGTAGGTATTTAACCATGTTTTTACCGCTTTGGTCAGAGGCAGCCAGTATGGTACACTGACTAAATCTTGCTTTCCACCTGTTGCAGGCCTGAGAGCTAGAAATAGTTACCGTATTTTTACATGAAAAATGGAAAGAAATATATTTTGCAATATTCAAAGTTAATGTCCATGAAGCTTTCAATTAATGGAACAAGCCATACTTGCTTGTTTACTATTCTGTTTGCTTTTCCATTACAGTGTCAGAGGTGAATTGTTGCATAACAAAGACCATCTGGCCTATAAGGCCTAAAATATTTACCATCAAGCCCTTTAACAGAGTGTAGTGTATTCAGTATTTTCTAGGTTATTTCAGTTTTTCCTATTATGAAAGTAGTGTAGTGAACATTTTTGGTGTTGTTAGAGATTGAACCCAGGTCCTCACACATACTAGGCAAGTGCTGTACCACTGAGCTATGTCCCCAGCATAAAAATGTCCTCGTAGTGAACATTTTTATATCTTTGCCCACACCGTTATTTCCTTTATTAATTTTTAATGTGAAATCTTGGGTCCAAAGAACATGGAGAATATAAGGCTTTTAGTACATACTGCTGGATTAGTCTCTGGAAGGTTTACCAGCGAGTTGTGGATGCATTGTTTTTCTGTGGTTCTCAACACTGAGAGGAAACCTCTAAAAATTACTTGCAGATTTTATGTGAAAAATATAGTCCCAATACTGGTTTAATTTGGTTCCTTGATTATTTGTGAGGCTGAATACTTTATTATATGTTTGTTGACCATATTTCATCTATAAATCACCATTTTTTATTACTTGCCATTTTCCTGTTATGACTTTTTAAAAAATTGACCTATGAATACTTTTTAACTTATTTTACTTGGACTTTAAATATGTCTTTTTTTTTTTTTTTTTTTTTGTACCAGAATTTGAACTCATGACCTTGCGCTTGCCAGGCAGGCACTGTGCCACTGAGCTATATCCGTGGCCCACTTGGACTTTAAAGAGCTGGATTCACACTGCTAGTGGAAGAATATACATGTATGATGTAATACATGTGTATTATACATATATAATATATAGTGCATGTATGCATTTTTAATTTTTTGAGGCAGGATGTGGCTCTGTAATCCATGCTGGCCTTGAATTTCCTGTGTAGTGCAGACTGGCCTTGTGCTCACGATCTTTGTACCTCAGCTAACTGAGGATGCCACCTATGCCAATGCATGGTTGATGGTTTTTAGTGACTACTTAAAAAATACATTTGAACTGGGAAGTGAGCTAATATCTCACTGGTATTTTTTTCTGCTACATGTTTTATTTCTTCTTGATATAAAAGGAAATAACTTTAATTTGTATTTGGCAGATTAATTTAGGGCCTCAAAAAGTCCTGGACTAACAGCCTCTCTCGCTCCTCTGGCTGTGGTTGGTTGCTATGTATCTGGCTAATTGTGAAGAAAAGTTGTGGGGAACAGAGTCTGTGAGAGCTGGAGGTGTCCTTTTGTCAAGCAGTGAGAGGAAGTTGCCTCTGTTAAATCAGAGAACTGTCCTGTTCCTGTAGTTATTCTATTATACCCTACTTGCCCTGTATTTTCTTTACGAATGTTGAAAACAGCTCAGTTTTATCTAACATGTGAGAGAGGTGAGGGGTGTATATAGGGGAAGGATGGGGAGAATGTTGCAGGTGGTGAATCCCCTGTTGGAGTTTCTTCCACCTTCAGGTCTGTGATGACCCTCTTTCTCCTTTCTTTCAGAACTATTCCTTTTCCAGTGTTCGTGTGGAGACACCCCTCCTGCTCATGGTGAATGGAAAGCCTCAGGGCTCCAGTAGCCAGGCTGCTGCCATGGTGGCATCACGACCACAGTGTGAATGATCTCTCCTGACCTCCATGCTATAGAGGGAGCAGTGGCACGGAGAAAAGCTCAAGGCACTGGGCCACTGGATCAGCCACATCCAGTGACTCCACTGGGATCAGGGGAGGATGCGTTTTACATGGAGACTCCCGTCCCGGAAGATTCTCTTAACTCTTCCCTGTCATGTTCCAGATCCTCCAGGGCCACACATGTCCCTGGCGTATCTCTCCTGCCTCTTTGACTGCTGTCTGTTTTAAGCAGAGTGTCGCATTGGTGGAAGTGTTGGGATCTTGCCATGGGAAAAAATCCCCAGGATTCGTGCTCTTGCCTCCTTCCTGAGTCTAATATATATATGTCAGTTCAGTATTTATTGCTAAGGGAAGGGGACTTAACTTTTTAATGGCTTGATTTTTGAGCAATTTTTATTTTTATTTTGAAGATTTAAGTTCTTTCTTTGGGGTGGGAACAGAATTAAATTTTCTTAGAAAAAAAATACCCTGTAGTTTGGTCTGCTTTATTTTCTCCAGTCTTAGATTCTTGCTTTTAGGTTGTCTTCAATCTGTTGGAGTAATCTCTTGTTTTTGGTCTTTATACAAAATATTTTTTTCTGGAAATCCCAGAAAGGACTGATAGCTCCAGAAATTTGCTGAAGACCAGCTTCTTTCCATTTTCTCATTCTGTCACCCCTAATGGTGGTTGCCCCATTGTCTGAGATGGACAGATAGTGCTATTCTGACAGTGCTCCTATGCCCGAAAGACCAGAGAGAGCTACGTTCAGTTTTATTAGGGTCTAATGATATATTTTATAACAGTTTCTCAGTATTCTTGTGGAAAATGAAGAAATGTTAATGAGGCTTAATAACCAATTGAGTGGCTGTACCAAAGTTAATGCATAGATGTGTTTGGAAGACTTCTGAGCACTTGCTATTTTAGGGATATAGCTTAGGTCTTTGTCCTTGGTTCCGTCCTATTCAGGTCTTGTTCAGTCACTTCAGTATCACTGGTGAAAATTTATAACAGCTGCAAAAGACAGAATTCAGAAAGTGGATAACAGAATAAGTATTTGTCTGAAGAAGTTATAAAGGCTGAATCTAACAAGATAAAAGTTTGAGGCCATTCTTTCCAGCCAAAAAGTCTAACTTTTTGAAGTATGTCTTTCACATCATATGCTGTAGGTAAGTTAAAGCCAGTATGAGTAACCAGTATGATATAATGGCAGAAATGCACTTTTTGGACAGCACCGAGGAATCTGGAATAAGAAGAGCGTGTTTAATACTGTGTGTGTCTATCGTACCACACAGGGAATCTTATGTCCAGTTTTCAGTGCTGATTTTGAGGAATATAGTTACGGAAGCATGATCAGGAGTTTGTGGTCATATCAGATCTTGAGCAGTGGCCCAAAGGAACTGGGGATTAATGGTGGTGAGTGTTAAGAGGCAGTAGAGATGAGATCCAATAACTTCCTCTTTTACTGAAGTCCTGAGATGCTTTGACATTCTATGTAGGGAAAGAAAAAAGGTGTCTAGGTGGTAATTAGACAGAAACAATATGTACAAAAGATACAAAGTGTATACGTACGGTTTAAATAATTAGAATACCTGTGAAGTGTCCATCTATCTTAAAAACTGGAATCACTGATAGCTTGGAAGCCCTTTGTGTACCTCTCCATGATCTAATCACTGCTATGAATGGATGATTCTGCTCCCCATCCTCAATGATTAATGTGGTCTTTTAGGCATTTTTTTTTTTTTTTTTTTGAGACAGGGTCTCGCTGTGTGGTTCAGGCTGGCCTTGAGCTGACTTTGTAGCCCAGGCTGGTCTTGAACTCGCAACAATTCTCCTGCCTCAGCCTCCCAAGTGCTGGGATTACAGGTGTGAGCCAGCACGTCCGGCTCTTTTAGGTATTTTAATACAACATTTTAGTTGTTTTAGTTGAATGGACTATTCCTGAGAACAAGTCTACCATACTACTGGACATGGGTATTACAGTTCAGTGAAGAAGTTATTGCTGAAACTCCCCAAGACTGAACTGTCCATGTTAGGAGAGGTGAATTATTTTTTAAGACTGCTAGATAGGTAACTGAGGACACTATCTGGAAACAGTTGCTTTAATTTTATGTTCACTTCTAATGTTTTATCACTCAGTAGATTTATCTCTGTCTTTCATAATACTGCTATAACTGGTCTGTCAGAGAGTGAGGAGTGCTGGGTTGAGTATTAATCTAGGTAGGCTGAAGCATTCCTAGATAAATATGACTAAAGAGCCCCTCAAAATCAGCTTTGGATGTTTGTAGGGCAAATACTTCCTGTTATTTTCTCCTAAGGCCTTATTTGATTTTGAATATTTTTATCAGTACACTTAGAATTTCCAAATGGAACAAAGGAGAGTTTGAATTGGAATGCTTTCAGACCCCCAAACCCTGATTTTTTTTAGGATATAAGATCATACCTGTTTATATAACTAGTCCTTGACTAGGGTTAAAGTGGTTCCCCAGTGAGGTCCTCATGTCTTTTCTCTATTTTTCATAAATCCTTAGAAAGTAAATTATTCTCTTTTACATTTTTTTTTTTTTTTTCCGGTTTTTCTCCGGTACCGGGAACCGAACTCACGACCTTGCGCTTGCCAGGCAGGCGCTTTTGCCGCTGAGCTAAATCCCCAGCCCCTCTCTTTTACATTTGAAGTTGATGTGCTAGTGTGGAATAAATTGAGTAATAAGAGAAAGCTCTCAAAGGTGCTGCCAAATTTTGGCTAGGAAGCAGATGATTTCTGTAGCCTACATCTGAAATAATGAGAAAAAACCTTGTTAATAACTTCAGTCTTGATTAGTATCTCCACTGCTACTGTGTCAGTTCTTCCGAGAAATCCTGTACGTAATCCTGGGTCTATATACATGAGGTCTTTTTGGTCTGGAAAATATTTAGGGAACCTGATACTCCACCAATGTATTGATTCTAAAGTAACCATTCTTTTCTCTCAAATTTTAACATGTCAGATTATAATTCAACAATTTATGGCCGGGCGTGGTGGCACACGCCTGTGCTCCCAGCACTAAGGCAGCTGAGGCAGAAGGACCCCTGCAAGTTCAAGGCCAGCCTGGGCTACATAGTGAGTTCAAGGCAGCCTAAACTACCCTGTCTCAAAAAACAGAACAACAGACACCATAACAAAGTACCCCACAAAAACCCATGAAATTCTTGTCAATTTAAATTATAGAATTAAACTTAAATTTTTTATCTATCAGTAGATGTTTGCAGTATATAATGGTTATAGTCATCACAAGAAGCTGGTATGTGTACATAATGTCTTAATTCTTTTTACTTTACCTTCCACTATCCTTCCTCCCTCCCTCCCTCCTGTCCTGGTCTTCCCACTTGTGGAAGCTCTATCTTCTTTTTTAATAGTCATAAAAGTAAGGATGTTTCTGTCTGTGGCCTTTTAGATTTGGTGAAATATAACAATATTATTTTGTGGCAGTATTTAGTTCTTCTCCTAATTTCTTTTTTTTTTTTTTTTTTTCCGTTTTTCTCCGGTACCGGGAACCGAACTCACGACCTTGCGCTTGCCAGGCAGGCGCTTTTGCCACTGAGCTAAATCCCCAGCCCCCTAATTTCTTTTTTGTATACGATGGGCATCTTTCCATGACAATTAATGCAAATCTACCACATTATTGTAAAATGGCCACATAAATTTCCAATAAATGGACATAGCATTTTTGTTTAATCATTGTTTTTTTTTATTTTAAATTATGAGTAATGTAATGAACATTTGTACTTTTTTGTATGCTTTGGAAGTGTTTCTTTGGGTAAATTTTATGAAGTGAAATTAATTTGATAGACATTGCTAATTTGCATTTCATAAAGGATATATTGACTTATACTTCTCAGATGTTTCAATTAGTGCCTGTTTCTTCATGAGCTATGTGTGTTTTTTTGTCTGATAGACAATATTATTTTAAATTTGCATTTTTATAGTTGTGACTTTGCCTTTTAATAAAACATTTATCTACTTAAAAATTTGATGTAAAGTATTAAGGAGGGCATCCAAGACTGAGAAAACTTAAAAAATGTGTTAATATTTAGGAAATGATATAATACTTTGTACATTATGGTATAATATATTGAATTATAATTTCTTCATTATATGATTTAAATTCTTAAGGACAGACATGGATTCTTGTTTACCTTTGACTTGTAGACATTGTCACATCCTTTTGTGAGCATAAGACATTGACGCAATAACTGTTGGTTAGATTGTGGGTGTGTTGGTTTGGGCTTATTTTGCAAGGGGAACAGTATAATACAGGACACATATTTTATAAAATTATTTATAATAATTACCCAAAGAATCATACAAGAGAGTGCAGGAAATTGGTCCACACGCTGTAGACCAAGAAATCTAGCCGAAGGCCTGGGTCCCACAGAAATGCCCTGCATGAGTCCAGCTGAAGACGTAGAGCTCATAACAATGCCTCCCATAAATCCAACTGGAGACTCAGAGCCCATAACAATGTCTCATGCAGGCCAGTTTCATGGATCTGCTGCAAAGGCCCAAAGGTCAGTGGTGGAATCTAGGAAGTCTGTGCCAGTGGGATGAAGGGTGTGTGCTAGCAGGCTGAGGGATCTGCACTGGAGCCAGGAAGCAATGCTCAAAGAACCAGAGCTCCCCGAGAAGGTACCATAGCCATCAGCAAGAGTGAGGTCCCAAGCTCCTCCGATGGTGAAGACAGCTGAGTTCCCATCAGGAAAGCCAACGCAGCAAGCTTCTCCAGGAGACTGAGCTGTGCACCTTCTTCCTCTCCAGAGCCAGGAAGCGGATGCTTCTTGGGCCAGAGCTCTTGCAAAGTGAACTGAAACTATTCTTAGTGCAACAAGGTCCCAAGCTCCTTGGAGGATGAAAATAGCTAAGTTCATCAGGAAAGCCATCATGACAAGCTCTGCTAACAGAACCAACAGCTCCTTACAGCTTCTACCAGCTCCAACAGTCTTTCAGCTCCCAACAGCCTCACTTCTTCTCCAGTTCTGCCTCTTAAGCTGCTGGCAACAATCCTCAGGTGGGCCCCCCAGCTCCCAGCACCACGCTTACTCAGTTCAGCTGGGGGTTACAAGTTGACCACCAGTTGTCAATCCACTACAGTAGGTTTGGAAAATAATATATAAATTAATATAGAGGATGTTGACACCTGGTGTGCAGAATGGTAATGACTTGGGGATATTGACACTTTGATACAGAATAGTAATGATTTTGAAAGTATTGTTTTGGCTTGTGCCTCTGGGGTGGGGCTCCTGCTCTGGTGGTTGCTCTTGCTAGGTCAGTAGACTGAAATGGTAGACTACTATGGGGACAACAGATACATTTTAAAAGGCCGTTCATTATTTCCATGTAAATTTATTAAGCTATCTTGTTACATACTAATCTAGGAGCTATGGCTTCAAAGGTGAGAAACTTCACAAAGCTCACAGCCTATAGGAAATAGACAAGTAAAATGCCATGTT